CAATTCAGTCCTGCCTCAATTCAGTCCTGCCTCAATTCAGTCCTACCTCAACCCAAGGCTGGCAGGGCTGTAGTGCCTCAATTCAGTCCTACCTCAATTCAGTCCTACCTCAATTCAGTCCTACCTCAATTCAGTCCTACCTCAATTCAGTCCTACCTCAATTCAGTCCTACCTCAATTCAGTCCTACCTCAATTCAGTCCTACCTCAATTCAGTCCTGCCTCAATTCAGTCCTGCCTCAATTCAGTCCTGCCTCAATTCAGTCCTGCCTCAATTCAGTCCTGCCTCAATTCAGTCCTACCTCAATTCAGTCCTACCTCAATTCAGTCCTGCCTCAATTCAGTCCTGCCTCAATTCAGTCCTGCCTCAATTCAGTCCTGCCTCAATTCAGTCCTGCCTCAATTCAGTCCTGCCTCAATTCAGTCCTGCCTCAATTCAGTCCTGCCTCAATTCAGTCCTGCCTCAATTCAGTCCTGCCTCAATTCAGTCCTACCTCAATTCAGTCCTGCCTCAATTCAGTCCTGCCTCAATTCAGTCCTGCCTCAATTCAGTCCTACCTCAATTCAGTCCTACCTCAATTCAGTCCTACCTCAATTCAGTCCTACCTCAATTCAGTCCTGCCTCAATTCAGTCCTGCCTCAATTCAGTCCTGCCTCAATTCAGTCCTGCCTCAATTCAGTCCTGCCTCAATTCAGTCCTGCCTCAATTCAGTCCTGCCTCAATTCAGTCCTGCCTCAATTCAGTCCTGCCTCAATTCAGTCCTGCCTCAATTCAGTCCTGCCTCAATTCAGTCCTGCCTCAATTCAGTCCTGCCTCAATTCAGTCCTGCCTCAATTCAGTCCTGCCTCAATTCAGTCCTGCCTCAATTCAGTCCTGCCTCAATTCAGTCCTGCCTCAATTCAGTCCTGCCTCAATTCAATCCTACCTCAATTCAGTCCTGCCTCAATTCAGTCCTGCCTCAATTCAGTCCTGCCTCAATTCAGTCCTACCTCAACCCAAGGCTGGCAGGGCTGTAGTGCCTCAATTCAGTCCTACCTCAATTCAGTCCTACCTCAATTCAGTCCTACAGCAATTCAGTCCTGCCTCAATTCAGTCCTGCCTCAATTCAGTCCTGCCTCAATTCAGTCCTACCTCAATTCAGTCCTACCTCAATTCAGTCCTGCCTCAATTCAGTCCTGCCTCAATTCAGTCCTGCCTCAATTCAGTCCTGCCTCAATTCAGTCCTGCCTCAATTCAGTCCTGCCTCAATTCAGTCCTGCCTCAATTCAGTCCTGCCTCAATTCAGTCCTGCCTCAATTCAGTCCTGCCTCAATTCAGTCCTGCCTCAATTCAGTCCTACCTCAATTCAGTCCTACCTCAATTCAGTCCTACCTCAATTCAGTCCTACCTCAATTCAGTCCTACCTCAATTCAGTCCTGCCTCAATTCAGTCCTGCCTCAATTCAGTCCTGCCTCAATTCAGTCCTACCTCAATTCAGTCCTGCCTCAATTCAGTCCTGCCTCAATTCAGTCCTGCCTCAATTCAGTCCTACCTCAATTCAGTCCTGCCTCAATTCAGTCCTGCCTCAATTCAGTCCTACCTCAATTCAGTCCTACCTCAATTCAGTCCTACCTCAATTCAGTCCTACCTCAATTCAGTCCTACCTCAATTCAGTCCTACCTCAATTCAGTCCTACCTCAATTCAGTCCTACCTCAATTCAGTCCTACCTCAATTCAGTCCTACCTCAATTCAGTCCTGCCTCAATTCAGTCCTGCCTCAATTCAGTCCTGCCTCAATTCAGTCCTACCTCAATTCAGTCCTGCCTCAATTCAGTCCTGCCTCAATTCAGTCCTGCCTCAATTCAGTCCTGCCTCAATTCAGTCCTGCCTCAATTCAGTCCTGCCTCAATTCAGTCCTGCCTCAATTCAGTCCTGCCTCAATTCAATCCTACCTCAATTCAGTCCTGCCTCAATTCAGTCCTGCCTCAATTCAGTCCTGCCTCAATTCAGTCCTGCCGCAATTCAGTCCTTCCTGCCTCAATTCAGTCCTACCTCAATTCAGTCCTACCTCAATTCAGTCCTACCTCAATTCAGTCCTGCCTCAATTCAGTCCTGCCTCAATTCAGTCCTGCCTCAATTCAGTCCTGCCTCAATTCAGTCCTGCCTCAATTCAGTCCTGCCTCAATTCAGTCCTGCCTCAATTCAGTCCTGCCTCAATTCAGTCCTGCCTCAATTCAGTCCTACCTCAATTCAGTCCTGCCTCAATTCAGTCCTGCCTCAATTCAGTCCTGCCTCAATTCAGTCCTACCTCAATTCAGTCCTGCCTCAATTCAGTCCTGCCTCAATTCAGTCCTACCTCAATTCAGTCCTACCTCAATTCAGTCCTACCTCAATTCAGTCCTACCTCAATTCAGTCCTACCTCAATTCAGTCCTACCTCAATTCAGTCCTACCTCAATTCAGTCCTACCTCAATTCAGTCCTACCTCAATTCAGTCCTACCTCAATTCAGTCCTGCCTCAATTCAGTCCTGCCTCAATTCAGTCCTGCCTCAATTCAGTCCTACCTCAATTCAGTCCTACCTCAATTCAGTCCTGCCTCAATTCAGTCCTGCCTCAATTCAGTCCTGCCTCAATTCAGTCCTGCCGCAATTCAGTCCTTCCTGCCTCAATTCAGTCCTACCTCAATTCAGTCCTACCTCAATTCAGTCCTACCTCAATTCAGTCCTGCCTCAATTCAGTCCTGCCTCAATTCAGTCCTGCCTCAATTCAGTCCTGCCTCAATTCAGTCCTGCCTCAATTCAGTCCTGCCTCAATTCAGTCCTGCCTCAATTCAATCCTACCTCAATTCAGTCCTGCCTCAATTCAGTCCTGCCTCAATTCAGTCCTGCCTCAATTCAGTCCTGCCGCAATTCAGTCCTTCCTGCCTCAATTCAGTCCTACCTCAATTCAGTCCTACCTCAATTCAGTCCTACCTCAATTCAGTCCTGCCTCAATTCAGTCCTGCCTCAATTCAGTCCTGCCTCAATTCAGTCCTGCCGCAATTCAGTCCTTCCTGCCTCAATTCAGTCCTACCTCAATTCAGTCCTACCTCAATTCAGTCCTACCTCAATTCAGTCCTACCTCAATTCAGTCCTGCCTCAATTCAGTCCTGCCTCAATTCAGTCCTACCTCAATTCAGTCCTGCCTCAATTCAGTCCTGCCGCAATTCAGTCCTGCCTGCCTCAATTCAGTCCTACCTCAATTCAGTCCTACCTCAATTCAGTCCTACCTCAATTCAGTCCTACCTCAATTCAGTCCTACCTCAATTCAGTCCTGCCTCAATTCAGTCCTGCCTCAATTCAGTCCTACCTCAATTCAGTCCTACCTCAATTCAGTCCTACCTCAATTCAGTCCTGCCTCAATTCAGTCCTGCCTCAATTCAGTCCTGCCTCAATTCAGTCCTGCCTCAATTCAGTCCTGCCTCAATTCAGTCCTGCCTCAATTCAGTCCTGCCTCAATTCAATCCTACCTCATTCAGTCCTGCCTCAATTCAGTCCTGCCTCAATTCAGTCCTGCCTCAATTCAGTCCTGCCGCAATTCAGTCCTTCCTGCCTCAATTCAGTCCTACCTCAATTCAGTCCTACCTCAATTCAGTCCTACCTCAATTCAGTCCTGCCTCAATTCAGTCCTGCCTCAATTCAGTCCTGCCTCAATTCAGTCCTGCCGCAATTCAGTCCTTCCTGCCTCAATTCAGTCCTACCTCAATTCAGTCCTACCTCAATTCAGTCCTACCTCAATTCAGTCCTACCTCAATTCAGTCCTGCCTCAATTCAGTCCTGCCTCAATTCAGTCCTACCTCAATTCAGTCCTGCCTCAATTCAGTCCTGCCTCAATTCAGTCCTGCCTCAATTCAGTCCTGCCTCAATTCAGTCCTGCCTCAATTCAGTCCTGCCTCAATTCAGTCCTGCCTCAATTCAGTCCTGCCTCAATTCAGTCCTGCCTCAATTCAGTCCTGCCTCAATTCAGTCCTGCCTCAATTCAGTCCTGCCTCAATTCAGTCCTGCCTCAATTCAGTCCTGCCGCAATTCAGTCCTGCCGCAATTCAGTCCTTCGTGCCTCAATTCAGTCCTACCTCAATTCAGTCCTACCTCAATTCAGTCCTACCTCAATTCAGTCCTGCCTCAATTCAGTCCTGCCTCAATTCAGTCCTGCCTCAATTCAGTCCTGCCTCAATTCAGTCCTGCCTCAATTCAGTCCTGCCTCAATTCAGTCCTGCCTCAATTCAGTCCTGCCTCAATTCAGTCCTGCCTCAATTCAGTCCTGCCGCAATTCAGTCCTGCCGCAATTCAGTCCTGCCTCACACCAGTCCTGCCTCAATTCAGTCCTGCCTCAATTCAGTCCTGCCTCAATTCAGTCCTGCCTCAATTCAGTCCTGCCTCAATTCAGTCCTGCCTCAATTCAGTCCTGCCTCAATTCAGTCCTGCCTCAATTCAGTCCTGCCTCGCTCCCTGCCCGTGCCAGCAGGTGGCCTATGAGGCGGCTGTAGTGCCTCAGTCAGTCAGTCCTGCCTCGCTCCCTGCCCCCACGCCATCTACGGATGGAGCGGAGAAGTGAGTGTGCTGAGCAGCACGTGTCAGCAGGTGGTCTGTGAGGCGGCTGTAGTGCCTCAGTCAGTCCTGCCTCGCTCACTGCCCCACGCCTTCTGCGTTTCCATGACAGGGAGGAGGGGCGTGACGAGAGGGGTATGAGCCTATGTGAGGCCGAAATAATGGCTTGGCTGGGAGCTGCACCGCAGCACTGCCATTGCCCGTCCCAGTAGTGTATGGCTGCACTGTGTAGTGCACACGGTTTGACTCACCTTGACTCACGTTGACTCGCGTTGACTCACCTTGACTCACGTTGACCAGCTTGACTCGCCGGGAATGATTCGGGACCACGAGATGGAGAAGCGGTAAGAGAGGTCGCTCACATTGGCCACTGGCCACGGACCATTGTCTTGCCATTGACTCATGTTGACTTGCGTTGACTGGTGGCTTGACTCACTGGGAATGATTCGGGACCAGGAGATGGAGAAGCGGTAGGAGGTCGCCCCCATGGCCTTGAGCAGTGCCACGTCATCCTGATGATGTGGCCACGTACACATGCAACCAGAGGGGAAACAAAACACAGAGGGTAAAGTACATGTGAAACGCATGCATAATATAGGACTCAGAGGGTATTGACACCCGTGTCTGAAGAAACACATTCGCTAAAGTACATGTGGCAAGTTTGTTTTCTCGATATGCTGTGCCTTATGGCGAGGATAAAGTGTACCTTGAATCGGTGATACTGATCAACCGTGACTGCCGGATTTGAAGCGTCCTTGATTTTCCCTGAAGATACAGCAAGGCAGGCAGGAGTTGCAGATTGCAGATTAGGTAAGTTGCAAACCCAATGAAGCGTCCTAGTCAAAAGACATTTCTTTATAGAGATGAAGCAATGAATAAAGAGATGGAGGGGTGACTGGGAGGCTTATCACCACCACCCAGATGCCTCTCCTCTCTATATTCCTTCTCTCCTCTCCTTCACTGCTTCACCACTCTCCATCCCTTCTCTGCATCCCCTCTCTACTTTCCCTCTATCCCCTCCTCTCTCACCGTCCCACATATCCATCCCCTGTCCCCTTTCCCTAGATTTAACCCTGCCGTCCCCCTCACCTGCTCTCTGCGCAAAGTCGTCCCAAATGCTTCTTCCCCTTCCGCCCTCCGCCACTGCTCCCTCCACCTGGGCCGGAACGGGGAGGAAAAGGGGAAGGGGAAAAGGAATTGGGGGAAGGAAAGAGAGGGGTTTCGGGATAAGAAGGGCAAGAGACGACTTTTGAGTCAACTCAAAAGTCACCTTGGGGGAAGGGAAGAGAGGGGTTCCGGATAAGAAGGGCAAGAGACAAATATTTGCGAATACGTTCTGCCGCTCCACCTGAACCCGTCACACGTGGCTCCTGCTCATCCCGTGCCACGTGGCTCACACTCTACGTGCCACGTCCACTCACCTGCGCAGCGCTGGTGGCGAATCCGAACACAAAGTCCCCGCCAAAGTCGCTCGCGCGCAGCTCTTCCTCCTCCCGCGCGCCGTCCGCGAGAGCATCCAGCGACGGGCAGCCCTGGGGGTGGGGGGAGCATTGGGAAGGGGGGAAAGCGGGGGGAAGAGGGTGGGGGAGCGGATGAGCGCAGCTCCCTTCCTCCTCCCGCGCGCCGCCCGCGAGAGCATCCAGCGACGGGCAGCCCTGCAGGCGGGGGCAAGAAAGGGGAGGCGGCTCGTCGCTTTGTCACGTCGCCTAGATCTGGTCATTTGCGGCGTTGGGGTACGATGCGGTGCAGATCGGTGGGTGACCACCCACTCGCACAATGACCTGCTCATATATATACCTTGAGTATCCTTCTGCTCGTATCGAAGAGAGCTTCTGCCGCGGATAGTCTCGCATCGCCAGGAGATCGTCGCTCGTGGGGACTGTTGTCGGATTTGCCGCTTTCTCGCGTCTCTGGAAGCGGGCGAGCTTTTGAGAAGTTCAAAGGTAGTTCGGGGAAGGGACGGTTCGAAGAAATAGCGTCAGAAGTTTCCGGCTTCAATCCTGCCGGAGTGTAATTAAAGAACGTAGAGATCGGATTCACTTGAGTCCTTGGCGAAGCTATGCTATCAGCGAGGACAGACTCGTGAACCAGGCTAGTCGCTGTATGCTCTTGAGCGGCAACTTCTTGCCGTATATCGGAGGCGCTACTATCGAGGACGCCGTGCTCGCCGTGAGCGAGAGCAAGTGCGAGACACGGGATCAGCCCCGCTAAGAGCACCAGCGCGACTATCACAGCGCGTCGGACTGCCGGACGAGCCATAAGCGCGCCAAAATTGCTGCTCGAGCTGGCAGTGACGCTGGCGCTGCTGCTGCTGCTGCTGCTGGCGCTGCTGCTGCTACTCTCGCCTCCCCCGATAATGCTCCTAGCGCGCATAAGCAGTACGACAGGAAAATGCGCGTCTTTAAAGATCACCCAGCGCGGTTACTCGAATTCCGGATGCGCTACATGGTGGTGCGTGTAGTTCCTGCTTCCCAAGATAGCTCCTCCTTGAGGAAAGGTGTGAAAAAGAGTGGGGGGAACTAAAACTGGCAATTGGGCAGAGTGGAAACTGGGGAGAGTGGAGACTGGGAAGGGGAGGATGGAGAGGATGCGAAGAGAGGCGAGAGGACAAGGATGGGAAGAATGGGCATAGGGAGAAAGGGAGCATGGGTGGGGGAGGTTGCGGCGGCGGTGCGGGAGCGATGGGTGGGATGAGGGCGAATTGCGCCCCTCCGAAGGCGGCGCTAATTGAGCGGCTCGAGCGAAACTTCAACCCAGCATGACGAAACTCAGTGCCGCCACTGAGAGTCGACGACGACGAGTTACTGTGTCTAAGTTTCCGCCTCTGGCGAAACGATGTTTGGCGATGATTGGATGATATTTGAGTGATTTCCATGCGGCCCGCGTTAGCAACGCTGCAAATCGGCTTCTTTGTGGTTGGTGAGAGTCATTCCAACGCGTATGAACTTGTGGATATAAAACGAGGCCGAGAAACACAATCCTACCATACATCAATATAGAGCACACAATCTGGTAGGTACTTAGTAAAAGAAATGTTATGCCAGGAAACGTTTCCGACTCAGGAGAATGGTAAGGTAGAGAAAACCTCAATAGCGTCATACAACACTAGACATCATCTCTGCCTACACAGCTTTCAACTGTCCTACCCTGAACAGTGCCAAAATAGCACAAGTCTGCAAAGCCCAAGCCAAATTACACCACCAAGCAAGAAACATTGCCATCTCCCTCACCAATAGTGGTGGCAACAATGACCCCTCTTTATCAAAGAGTGGATCCAGCTCCGGCCCTCTGCTCCTTGCAATGCCCACCAGCAGGAGTGTGACTATAGGGAGCGCAACCGCTTGAATAGCAACCTTGCAGATGAAATAGTAAGTCAGCTGCACACGTGCGTTTACACGATGATAAGCCCACTCCTTGCCAGAGTGTAGCTGATCATACCAGTACACCAACGCATTATTGAGGTGTGACTGTACGGCAATGCGGAGAAGCAGAATGCGGGAAACGCCACTGAGGAGAATAACCGCCAGCTGGAGCCACTCGATCGGAAGGCCACCGCATTGGCCACTCAAAATGGAACCAATCAGAGAGCCGAAGTAAGCACCCAAGTGGGAGAGAGTGGATGCACCAGCAGCAGCTGTTGCAGTAGCAGCAACAGTAGCATTAGCAGCAAAAGCAGACGCAGATGCAGAACCCAGAGCACCAGCCGAAGCAGTGTCATTGCCACCACCAACAGCACCGCCAGAGCCACCACCACCGCTCCCAACTGCACCGAAAACAACGACCGGCTCGAAAACTTCTGCCAGGGGTCGGAACCATAGCGCTGCTGCGAGCACAGGCAGCAGAAAGCTGACATTCCAGAGGAGAGAGGACCAGAAACCCTGATGGATGATCCCTGTGTCCCACGGCTGCTGACTGGTGGAGAGGTAGAAGCAGCGGACGAATCGGATAGCAGCAGGAAGGCACAGCGCGCCGATGACTCCTGAGAAGAGCACCAATGAGGTTTTGATGAAGGTCGGGGGGATGATGAATTCGGGGATGGTGTCCTTAGCGAGTCCCTTCGATTTGAAGTGATTCGTTATAGTCACGCCGGCCTTCTCCGCGACGGAATCGAAGTCGAAGCCGGTGAGCGACGCAGGCAGGACGAAGAGGAGGAACCCCGTTATAAGGCAGCTCGCTATCCCGGCAAGAGCGCACTGCGTGAAATCTGAGGATCGAGTTGTGCCTCTGTCCCACTCTACAGAAGCCCAGTTCCGGATTATTTTCCACATAGCCACAGCTGCCAGGAGAAGCGGAATCATGCCGCCGTGGTCCATCAGGAAAAGGCCAGTTGACGAGGAATGGAGATTCTGCTTTGGGGTGTTTGGATCTGCAGTCTGCTGCTGCTGGCCTTGCTGGTTGGCGAACATGCCGCTTCTCTGAAGGTAAATCTCAAGGACGCTCAGGATTTCCCGGGAAAACACCGCCATGATCCCTATGCAGGCGAACAGGATTGTTTCGTCGAATTCGCGAAAGAACTTTCGCGAATAGAGGTGACCCTCCTGCACGAGGATTCGCATCATCTTGCCGCTTGATTCGTCCGCTTCCGGCTCGTTGCTTTTTCTCCTGCCCCTGTTCTTGCCCTGCCCGTTGGAAATCGATGACATGGGTACTCCCGCATTTTGATCCGTAAGCACGTAGACCTGCAGATGCCGGAGAAGACGAACCGGGAACCCGTAACGAACAACGAGGACGCTTGTAATGAGGCAGACTACGGAGTAATAGACGACGCTGAATATTCCCAGCATCGTGATCCGTCCCTTCCGAGTCGAATCGAAACTAAATTAAGGAATCAGCTGACGGTGAATAACAAGAGAGAAATACAGAATTCAAGGAGTTCAAGCTGAAAACGAAACGCCCGACTGAAGGGTAAGCTGGCTGAAGCAGGGGGGGCGTGGCCTGAAGAGACAGGTGGGGAATTCGTGAATCGCGATCGGGAAACGAGCCTAATAAGCAGCAAGAGCGTGACTCCAGGGAAAGTGGCGCGGGCTCGTTACAAGCGTCGTTAGGCACGCGGCTTCGACGCTTGCCATTGACACAGGTTTCATCTAGACGTGAATCTGTGACGACTGCTTCCCGAATTCAACTCTGATCTACTTGGTATCCGTGCCCCACCACCATTCCTACAGCTTACCTGCTTGTCTGGGCTGGGGGAAGTGGTGGAAGGAAGAGAAACAATGTAAAAAGGCAGAGAACTGTATGGCACAGTACGGTAAACCACGGTGCATATCTAGTGGTCCCTGACACAGCCATATCTAGTGGGAGTCTCCGCCGCAAGTTTCCATACCGCCTCAGATCCGTGCGACACCCGACCAGCTAAAAATATCTTCGTTATAACGGGTGGATCTCAAATCGGGTAGAAAAATTCACCCCAACAATAAATTCCTCCACACAACAGCAGGAGCAAGCAACAAGCACTACCATCCTAAATGGGCGATAGATGAGATTACAATGGTGAAATCACAGAATGTAAGGCTTCGACATGGCCTCCATGATCCGCCACTCCAATTCATCCTCCCTGATCCATCTTGCACTCTCCATCCGCAAGGCTGTTTTGGCCGCTTCTTTACGAGCACTGATCTTCCCCTCCCTTTCCTTGAGCCGCGCTGCATTCATCACCTTCAGCTCTTGCTGCTCACAAGAACAAAACAGAATCAATTAAAGGTTGAGGGACGAACAGTGAACATGGTCTGGCATTTTGCATGAGAATGCATCCACCACACCAGACCGCACCAGACATGACCACACCAGACCACATCTGACCACGCCACACCATACCACACACCAGACTTCTTCCTTTCCTATCCCTCCTCACCCACTCCCTCTCTCCCTCCTCTTCCCCTCCCCCTCACCCCCTCCTGCTCCCCGCTCATCCATCCTTTTCCCTCCAATCCATCCCACCCATCCCTGCCCGCAGACTCTCCTGCTCCACCATCTCCCTCGCCACATCACACCACAACACACACCCTCAACATGCAACACCCAAGCCTTCCCCCCACCCCTCGCCCTTCCTCCCCCATCCTTTTTAACCCCTTTCCTCAATCCCACCCATCCCGCCCACCTTAGCTGCCCGCAGCTTCTCCTGTTCCTCCAGCGCCATCGCCGCCCACGCGGCTTTTGAGACGTCTCAAAAGACCTTTTTTAACCAACCCACCCCTACCTCCCACCCACCTTAGCCGCCCGCAGCTTCTCCTGCTCCTCCAGCGCCCTCGCCGCCCGCGCCGCCCGTGCCGTCCGCTTCTCCTCAGCATGCGACTCCTTCTCGCTCGCCGCCGCCTCTCTGCGCTGCTGCTGCGCTTTCATTGCCGCTCGCCTCAGCTCCTGATGCTCCTGCGCGTATGCCTTGCGTAGGGCCGATACTTGGGCTTGGTAGTCCCGTTGCCTCTGTGCTAAGTCCTGGGAGAAGTCGCGGGGGGAGCAAGGGACAGAAGGTCGAGACTGGTTAAGCCCGCCTCAGCTCCTGATGCTCCTGCGCGTATGCCTTTCGAAGGGAGGGATCCTGGGCTTGATAGTTCCGCTGCCTCTGTGCCAGGTCCTGGAAGGAAGTGAGAGAGAGGATGCAGGAAGGTGAGGAATCACTTTCCCGCAGCACCAGCAGCCAATAGGAGGTTCAACAACCTGTCTGCTTCTAAGCCGCTTCTGAGTGGAGTGCATGATACACGTGGGGAAGTGAAGGCTTTTGGAGAGAAAGCGGGGGGCCGTGATGCAGCTGGCTGGAGTAGTGGGTACTGTTGAAGAAAAGGAGGTGGTAATGGAGAGAATTGTGAAAGCAAGTCATGAGTCGAAGACTAAAAGAGAGGCTTACCTCTAACGGGCCGCACGATGCAGCTGGGGCAGTGAGGGCTTCTGAAGAGGGAGAGGCAGAGGAGGAAAGGGAGAGAAACGTGCAGGCAGGTGTGGAGAGGACAACTCAGGAGTGGCTTACCTCTAAGGGGCCGCGCGATGCAGCTGGGGCAGTGGGGGCTTCAGACGAGGCGGGGGAGGCTGACGAGAAATCCCTGCGGTCATAAACAAACACAGTGGAATGGGCGGATAGGGTCTAGTATTTAGGCGCCTCGTAGAAAAGACGCCTCGGGGAAAAGAGGGGGAGAATGACAGTGTTGATAGGGGCAAAGAGGAATGCACCTTCCGGGACAAGCAGGGGACGCGGGAGATGCAACGATTCGCGAAAACGGAAAGCCGTTAGCGACGGTCGCGAACGGCCAAGTGACGGCTCGATCCGCGCAGTGCGACCTGATTCGAGAGACGACGCGCGCAGCCATCTGTCGCAGGTACAAGCCTACGAGTTACCGAAGTCAACTTTCGTAAGTAGGAGCGACTTTTAAGATCCTAAAGATGCGATTCTGTTCTTGAGCAGAGCAGAAGACGTTAAGCGGGACTAGAAGTCGTTCAACGGTCGGGACGCGCGGAGATTGTGGCGAGACGAAGTTGATTGTGACAGCCTGGACTGACGGCTCGTCAGTGGTGGTGCTGCTACTGCTGCTGGAGTGGGGCTTGGGGTGCGGCGGAGCGAAAGCGACGATGTAGAATGCCTGGGAGAGCGACGGCGGCGAAGAAACGGCGGCGAAGAAACGGCGGATTGCGACGCGATCACGTGACCTTGGGATTGTCGCCCAGTTTCGGGAGGAGCCGATTTATTAGCGGCTGGCAGCGACAGCGAAGGGAGGCGAAGGAGCAGGAGGAAGTGCTGGGGTCGACAAGACCGGAATACAATATCGCGGACAAAAAGCAGCAGACTGAACATGGGTGATGCACGTATGTACAAACGAGCTTAGCACGGCTATAACACAGGTAACAGAAAATTCTTGAGAAAAGGGGTTCCAGTTCAGTCCTATTTCCGTTTTACGGATGGTTTGATGCCCTGTAAGCACAATTTGCACATCTACATGAACTTGCGCTGAGGTCGGCCTTCCAGTTCCTCTTGCTTCCTCTGCATCAGTGCACACATTACAAGCAAAACAGGATTGCGTCATGAATAACCTTGAAAACACTGCTCAAGTGAAGAAGACGATGGGCTGTGACATATGCTATCAAGTGAGCTGTGAGATGGAAAGGAGTGAATCCAATCAGCAGAGAGACGGAAAGATGACTGCTTGCAACATAAAAGCTCACAAGGCAAGATTCTAACCATTGCTGCTGTGCTGAGTAAGGGAAACGAATCGTGGTTCATCATGGCGTGGGGTGATTTGATATCAGCAGCACATTGAGGGTAATGAAGGAACAAGAGGGAGCATGGGGTAGAGAAACGAGGGTGGGCACGCAAGCAGACAGGCGGACAGGTGGACGAATGACAGGAACGCAAAAGGTGGAAAATGTAGCAATGGATGTAAATGCACATGTTCCATCTGATGCATCAGTTAAATTTATATAAACAGAATACAGCCTGGCTGGCAGCATGCTTACGGACCAAAGGGGCTCTATTTGGTGCATTCCACCATATCCCCTCAACAAAGCGGGTGCAACTATAAGGAAAGGGGCTATGTTTGGTGACATCAACTCCTGAAAGCTCTATACTTTTCCTAACGACAGCTTTAGTCAAGAAAAACCATGGTATTGCCATACTACTAAGCAGTGTGAGAGGGTCGAGAGAGCGTAGGTGGGGGTTGAGTTGGGGAGAAGGGTGAGGGGGGAGAAGGAGAGAGGAAGGAAGGGAAACGGGGAAGCAGAAAGGTACGCAAGAAAAAAAATCCCTGCCCTTGCCACCCGCCCCCGCCAACTAACCCTAAACAAGTTTTAGGACTTCACAAAGAAAGGACTTACGAATTCTGCGATGGTGCCTCGGTAAACGAGAACGGGGACGACGACGATTGCGAGCGCCGCGATCGAGAGCGTGCGACGGTTGAAGCGAAAGACCTTCTCGAGATTCTCGCGACGCGTCCCCCAATCCTCGATGAACTTGTTCTTATGCACGTCGAGACCCCCGGCCATGGCTACGAGAATAAGTAGGTGGTCGAGACTACGCGGAGATAAGAAAGCAGCGCGAAGGCGCGCAAAGGCGGGAAACCAGTGCGAGGATTCGCAAAAGTGTGAGTTTGCAGACGTAAGTAATGCTGCGTGCTGCACTGGAAACGGGATCGGAAAAAGCGCGATCGATGGGTGGTGGGAGTTCAGGTGGAATGGGGAAATAATGTCAGCGAAGGCGACGGCGGGGATGACAGAGAGATGGTGAGCTGAATCAACGGTCCACCGTGCCTGACGCGCAGATGCCAGGTCGGGAAGTGATGGGCTGGTGCTGGCTCATAAGGGGGACTAGCTTGGCTGGTAAGTGCTTGGTGAGCTTAAACTCGTTATAAAATTCCCCGAGTCTTAAACTGGTAAAACGAAGCGCTTGGTGCTAGGTAAGCAACTACAAATTTGTTAGTGTGTCTATAAGCAAGCACAAGAATATACAATTCCCTTCATTTTGCCACAAATGTCAGAAATTTACGTACTAGTCATCCTCCTCCTCATTGTCTATCAACCCTCCACTTCCCCCTTCATCCCTCTCCACACCACTTCCCTGCTGCCCTTCCTCCTCATCCCCCATAGTGAGCTTTTGCCTCTTCCACTTATAAGCAGCCTCCAGGATCTTGAGATTAGGCTGGTTAGCCGCTTCATCTGGGAAGATGTAGTCGTAATACTCCTCGAACCTGAAATAAGCAATAATGGACGGATTGGCACGAACGGGATAACGATGAGTGCTTGCTAAGAACTAACGGGAATGATGGCAAGGCAGACAACCCACACACACCAGAATGTAGGGTTGAATCTCAAGTTAGATCACAGGAGGAACTGATAAAAGGAAGACAAGAGAGAAGACAGAAACCAACCATTGGGTGTAATGAATTTGCACATAGTGAGCATGCACGCACCCAGCAGGAGTGCCATCCTCCGTTGTGATTGGCCGCTTCCGCTTCACGCGACGAGGCATCTTCTTCTCGACCAATCCCGGGTCACCATTCACACCTGCCGCCCGCTCCATCTCCCGCCACGCCTCCAGCAGCATCACCCGCTCCTCCTTCTGATCGGCGGCGTTCGTCCTCATGTGCTCAAACGCCCGCTCATACACCTCTGCAAGTGGCCACATGTGAGGGAAAGGGCAGGCAGGGAAGCGAGAATAACAGGCAAAGAAGCACAGATCAAATTCAGCAGACTTAAGATTAGACAAAAGTCAGAAGCACCGTACCCCACGGCACCGTACCCCACGGCCCCCCGTACCTCGTGCCCGAATCACCCGATCCTTAGACTGCTCTGCAAGCACCGTCTCGTCCACCTCTCTGCCCTCCTCCCCTGCTTGTGCTACCCTGTATCTACCATTCCCCACCCCACACTCCACACAATCTATGCCGAATCCTTCTGATTTTTCCCATACCTCGTGCTCAGTCCTTGGACTGCTCTGCCAGCACCAGCTCGTCCGCCTCTCTGCCCTCCTCCTGTGCTCGCACTTCCCCCTTGTATCTGTAACCCCCACCTCACCTCACACCCCAAGCACCGTAACCAAGCCCCATACCCCAAGTACCTCTGGCGCGGGTGACCCGGTCCTTAGACTGCTCTGCCAGCACCAGCTCGTCCGCCTCTCTGCCCTCCTCCTCATGTGCCCACACCTGATTCGCCTAATACAAGCTAATAATCAGCTTTACCGTCCTGTACCTGTGATTCCATGCCCCATACCCCACTCCACCGCACTGTACCTCTGGCCCTGGTGACACGGTCCTTGGACTGCTCTGCCAGCACCAGCTCGTCCGCCTCTCTGCCCTCCTCCTCCGCCTTGATCTCCTCCTCTACAGCCACCTGCGCCTCAAACTGCCCGTAGCTCATCCACACCTGAGGGAGATTGGAGGGAAGAGAAGGGGATAAGTGCACGGGGGAAAGGAGGTGTTTCAACAGGTGAATCCAGGAGTCGCTCATACAGCTGCCTCGTGTGCTCATTCGTGCTGACGACGGCACACAACTACGCAACTCAGCTCTTACCTGGAGTGCCTTTTGAGTCGACTCAAAACTAACCTCGTTACAATGGCATTCGTGCTGACGACGGCACACAACTATGCAACTCAGCTCTCACCTGGGGTGCTAGCAACAAGGATTGTTTTGTTACACACCTTGACGTGCTTGGTTCGCTCCAGCTGCCGCTCATACAGCTGCCTCGTGCGTAAGTGCTGGCTATGTGCAAGTACACGGCTGTAACCCGGTTACCAGCAAGGAACGATTCTCACCTTGACGTGTTTGGTTCGCTCCAGTAGCCGCTCATACAGCTGCCTCGTGCACTCATTCGTGTTTACCACAAATGATTACACAACACAGGTGTTACCTGGTTACCAGTTCTCACCTTGACGTGTTTGGTTCTCTCCAGCAGCCGCTCATACAGCTGCCTCGTGCGCTCAAGAAGGCTGCATGCCTCTGCATCTTACTTGCTGGCTGCACGCATAAGCACGGCTCACCTTGACGTGCTTGGTTCTCTCCAGCAGCCGCTCATACAACTGCCTCGTGCGCTCGCTCTCCCCCTCCGCTATCTCAAAGTCTATGTACGCCTGCAGTGGGGTAGAAACAATAGGGCAGAGGCACAAGGGCGGAAAAGACAACAAGGATGAATCAGGTGATTGGGAATGAGCGGAGGCAACTTGTTTGCGCTTGCTCTCGCCCCCCACTATCTCAAAGTCTATGTACGCCTGCAATGGGACAGGGCAGGAGAGCAGAGGGCAGTAGGATTGATAGTTCTCAACAGCTGCCTCGTGCGCTCGCTCTCCCCCTCCGCTATCTCAAAGTCTATGTACGCCTGTGACAGGGCAGGGCAGGAGAGTAGAGGCATAAGGGCGGAGAAGACAAGAAGTATGAAAAAGGCACGTGATAATGAGTAGAGACGTGTGTGCGCTCGCTCTCCCCCTCCGCTATCTCAAAGTCAATGTACGCCTGTGATAGGACGAGAGGAAACAGGGCAGGGGCAGGAAAGAATCAGAAAATTGTTACTTGAGACAGCTTGAGATGGCTCAACACTTGTGTCTCTCCCCCTCCGCTATCTCAGAGTCTATGTACGCCTGTGAAAGGACGAGAGGAAACAGGGCAGAGGCAGGAAAAAAACCGGAAGAATGTTACTTGAGATGGCTCAACACTTGTGTACGAACGATCGCTCTCCCCCTCCGCTATCTCAAAGTCTATGTACGCCTGTGAACGGGCAGGGCAGGAGAGTAGAGGCCGAAGGGCGGAGAAGACAAGAAGTATGAAAAAGGCACGTGATAATGAGCTGAGCAGAGACAATGTGTGTGCGCTCACTCTCCCTCTCCGCTATCTCAAAGTCGATGTACGCCTGCCATGGGGCAGAGGTGATAGGGCAGAGGCAGGAGAGCAGAGGGTACATCAGAAAGAAGCAGCTCAACAAGCGAAGGCGCTCGCTCTCCCTCTGAGCTATCTCAAAGTCGATGTACGCCTGCCGTGGGGCAGGGCAGGGGAGCAAAGACAACAGGGAAATTGGATGGAGAAGATCAATGGGAGGATATGTGATACTTCTCAACAATTGTGCGAGCTCGCTCTCCCTTTTCGTTACCTCAAATTCAATAAGTGCCTGCAGTGGGGAGGATGCAATAGAGCAGCAGCGCACGTGGACCAAGGCGCGCTCTCGTGGACCAAGGCGCGCTCTCGTGGACCAAGGCGCGCTCTCGTGGACCAAGGCGCGCTCTCGTGGACCAAGGCGCGCTCTCGTGGACCAAGGCGCGCTCTCGTGGACCAAGGCGCGCTCTCGTGGACCAAGGCGCGCTCTCGTGGACCAAGGCGCGCTCTCGTGGACCAAGGCGCGCTCTCGTGGACCAAGGCGCGCTCTCGTGGACCAAGGCGCGCTCTCGTGGACCAAGGCGCGCTCTCGTGGACCAAGGCGCGCTCTCGTGGACCAAGGCGCGCTCTCGTGGACCAAGGCGCGCTCTCGTGGACCAAGGCGCGCTCTCGTGGACCAAGGCGCGCTCTCGTGGACCAAGGCGCGCTCTCGTGGACCAAGGCGCGCTCTCGTGGACCAAGGCGCGCTCTCGTGGACCAAGGCGCGCTCTCGTGGACCAAGGCGCGCTCTCGTGGACCAAGGCGCGCTCTCGTGGACCAAGGCGCGCGCTCGTGGACCAATGAGCGCGCTCGTGGACCAAGGCGCGCTCTCGTGGACCAAGGCGCGCTCTCGTGGACCAAGGCGCGCTCTCGTGGACCAAGGCGCGCTCTCGTGGACCAAGGCGCGCTCTCGTGGACCAAGGCGCGCTCTCGTGGACCAAGGCGCGCTCTCGTGGACCAAGGCGCGCTCTCGTGGACCAAGGCGCGCTCTCGTGGACCAAGGCGCGCTCTCGTGGACCAAGGCGCGCTCTCGTGGACCAAGGCGCGCTCTCGTGGACCAAGGCGCGCTCTCGTGGACCAAGGCGCGCTCTCGTGGACCAAGGCGCGCTCTCGTGGACCAAGGCGCGCTCTCGTGGACCAAGGCGCGCTCTCGTGGACCAAGGCGCGCTCTCGTGGACCAAGGCGCGCTCTCGTGGACCAAGGCGCGCTCTCGTGGACCAAGGCGCGCTCTCGTGGACCAAGGCGCGCTCTCGTGGACCAAGGCGCGCTCTCGTGGACCAAGGCGCGCTCTCGTGGACCAAGGCGCGCTCTCGTGGACCAAGGCGCGCTCTCGTGGACCAAGGCGCGCTCTCGTGGACCAAGGCGCGCTCTCGTGGACCAAGGCGCGCTCTCGTGGACCAAGGCGCGCTCTCGTGGACCAAGGCGCGCTCTCGTGGACCAAGGCGCGAACTCGTGGAGCGAACTCGTGGACCAAGGCGCGCTCTCGTGGACCAAGGCGCGCTCTCGTGGACCAAGGCGCGCTCTCGTGGACCAAGGCGCGCTCTCGTGGACCAAGGCGCGCTCTCGTGGACCAAGGCGCGCTCTCGTGGACCAAGGCGCGCTCTCGTGGACCAAGGCGCGCTCTCGTGGACCAAGGCGCGCTCTCGTGGACCAAGGCGCGCTCTCGTGGACCAAGGCGCGCTCTCGTGGACCAAGGCGCGCTCTCGTGGACCAAGGCGCGCTCTCGTGGACCAAGGCGCGCTCTCGTGGACCAAGGCGCGCTCTCGTGGACCAAGGCGCGCTCTCGTGGACCAAGGCGCGCTCTCGTGGACCAAGGCGCGCTCTCGTGGACCAAGGCGCGCTCTCGTGGACCAAGGCGCGCTCTCGTGGACCAAGGCGCGCTCTCGTGGACCAAGGCGCGCTCTCGTGGACCAAGGCGCGCTCTCGTGGACCAAGGCGCGCTCTCGTGGACCAAGGCGCGCTCGTGGACCAAGGCGCGCTCTCGTGGACCAAGGCGCGCTCTCGTGGACCAAGGCGCGCTCTCGTGGACCAAGGCGCGCTCTCGTGGACCAAGGCGCGCTCTCGTGGACCAAGGCGCGCTCTCGTGGACCAAGGCGCGCTCTCGTGGACCAAGGCGCGCTCTCGTGGACCAAGGCGCGCTCTCGTGGACCAAGGCGCGCTCTCGTGGACCAAGGCGCGCTCTCGTGGACCAAGGCGCGCTCTCGTGGACCAAGGCGCGCTCTCGTGGACCAAGGCGCGCTCTCGTGGACCAAGGCGCGCTCTCGTGGACCAAGGCGCGCTCTCGTGGACCAAGGCGCGCTCTCGTGGACCAAGGCGCGCTCTCGTGGACCAAGGCGCGCTCTCGTGGACCAAGGAGCGCTCTCGTGGACCAAGGAGCGCTCTCGTGGACCAAGGAACGCTCTCGTGGACCAAGGCGCGCTCTCGTGGACCAAGGCGCGCTCTCGTGGACCAAGGCGCGCTCTCGTGGACCAAGGCGCGCTCTCGTGGACCAAGGCGCGCTCTCGTGGACCAAGGCGCGCTCTCGTGGACCAAGGCGCGCTCTCGTGGACCAAGGCGCGCTCTCGTGGACCAAGGCGCGCTCTCGTGGACCAAGGCGCGCTCTCGTGGACCAAGGCGCGCTCTCGTGGACCAAGGCGCGAACTCGTGGAGCGAACTCGTGGACCAAGGCGCGCTCTCGTGGACCAAGGCGCGCTCTCGTGGACCAAGGCGCGCTCTCGTGGACCAAGGCGCGCTCTCGTGGACCAAGGCGCGCTCTCGTGGACCAAGGCGCGCTCTCGTGGACCAAGGCGCGCTCTCGTGGACCAAGGCGCGCTCTCGTGGACCAAGGCGCGCTCTCGTGGACCAAGGCGCGCTCTCGTGGACCAAGGCGCGCTCTCGTGGACCAAGGCGCGCTCTCGTGGACCAAGGCGCGCTCTCGTGGACCAAGGCGCGCTCTCGTGGACCAAGGCGCGCTCTCGTGGACCAAGGCGCGCTCTCGTGGACCAAGGCGCGCTCTCGTGGACCAAGGCGCGCTCTCGTGGACCAAGGCGCGCTCTCGTGGACCAAGGCGCGCTCTCGTGGACCAAGGCGCGCTCTCGTGGACCAAGGCGCGCTCTCGTGGACCAAGGCGCGCTCTCGTGGACCAAGGCGCGCTCTCGTGGACCAAGGCGCGCTCTCGTGGACCAAGGCGCGCTCGTGGACCAAGGCGCGCTCTCGTGGACCAAGGCGCGCTCTCGTGGACCAAGGCGCGCTCTCGTGGACCAAGGCGCGCTCTCGTGGACCAAGGCGCGCTCTCGTGGACCAAGGCGCGCTCTCGTGGACCAAGGCGCGCTCTCGTGGACCAAGGCGCGCTCTCGTGGACCAAGGCGCGCTCTCGTGGACCAAGGCGCGCTCTCGTGGACCAAGGCGCGCTCTCGTGGACCAAGGCGCGCTCTCGTGGACCAAGGCGCGCTCTCGTGGACCAAGGCGCGCTCTCGTGGACCAAGGCGCGCTCTCGTGGACCAAGGCGCGCTCTCGTGGACCAAGGCGCGCTCTCGTGGACCAAGGCGCGCTCTCGTGGACCAAGGCGCGCTCTCGTGGACCAAGGAGCGCTCTCGTGGACCAAGGAGCGCTCTCGTGGACCAAGGAACGCTCTCGTGGACCAAGGCGCGCTCTCGTGGACCAAGGCGCGCTCTCGTGGACCAAGGCGCGCTCTCGTGGACCAAGGCGCGCTCTCGTGGACCAAGGCGCGCTCTCGTGGACCAAGGCGCGCTCTCGTGGACCAAGGCGCGCTCTCGTGGACCAAGGCGCGCTCTCGTGGACCAAGGCGCGCTCTCGTGGACCAAGGCGCGCTCTCGTGGACCAAGGCGCGCTCTCGTGGACCAAGGCGCGCTCTCGTGGACCAAGGCGCGCTCTCGTGGACCAAGGCGCGCTCTCGTGGACCAAGGCGCGCTCTCGTGGACCAAGGCGCGCTCTCGTGGACCAAGGCGCGAACTCGTGGAGCGAACTCGTGGACCAAGGCGCGCTCTCGTGGACCAAGGCGCGCTCTCGTGGACCAAGGCGCGCTCTCGTGGACCAAGGCGCGCTCTCGTGGACCAAGGCGCGCTCTCGTGGACCAAGGCGCGCTCTCGTGGACCAAGGCGCGCTCTCGTGGACCAAGGCGCGCTCTCGTGGACCAAGGCGCGCTCTCGTGGACCAAGGCGCGCTCTCGTGGACCAAGGCGCGCTCTCGTGGACCAAGGCGCGCTCTCGTGGACCAAGGCGCGCTCTCG